CTGGGGAATTCTGGGAGTTGCAATCCACACATCTTCAAGTTGCCAAGGTTGAGAAACACTGGTATAGTCCAACCTCGCTAGAAGGCAAGAGGTTAAAAAAAGCTGGCTGAGATAATGGCCAGATATATTTTCCAGGATATAAGGGCTTGGTGGGAGGTGTCAGTTTTGTGGCTAGAACAATTATGGAAAATTCCCCCATCTCCCAATTCCCCACCTCCAGAAACTGCCGTCTTGCAGCCTCTTCGTGAGGGGAAACTGTGGAGAAACAGCTTGGGCAATCTCACATCTCTCTCTTCTAATCCAGAGAGGATTATAGGAACCAATCTACTGAAGATGGAGCTGTCTTCAATCCGCCATCTTCCCCCGGAAGTTCCTTTCCTTGTTGCTTCTGATCTTCTCCATCTCTTTAGTCTGAAGCTGTTTTCTAGCTGAGGAAATGTTGGAATACATCTTGCTGCTGGTTATCCTCTTCTTCTCTTTCTTTTGACTTTTCTCAGCATTATATAGACTTTTCCAGAGATCTACGTCTTGGCATAATGTGTCCGAAGTATGATAGTTTGAGCCTCCAGTGAGAGCTCAGAGTTGATTTGTTTGATGATCCATTTGTTTGTTTTCTTCTTGTCCATGGTATTCTCACATGTCTTCTCCAACACCAAAGTTCAAAAGTGTTCAATGCCCTTTCTATCCTGCTTCTTCAAAGTCCAATGCAGGTTAATCAATAAATAAAAACTGGGCCATCTCCTTGAAAATCCATCAGGGAAAGCACTAATCAAACCATTTTTGTTGGGGGGAGAAACCCTGTTCTGAATCCTGGCCGAATGGTCCTCTCATGGTGGAGAGACATAGATTAAGGCATCGTGAGGGTAAATGGGGTTAATGTATGGGTCCACATGGGAGGAAACATTTACAAGGAGAAGTGATGAGCGGTTGGAGGAAGCCAGTTAATGGAATAACTCAGGAAACAATTCTAGCATACCTGCATTCCCTACATGTTTCTGTCTCTGTTTCCCTCCAGGCCTCCGCATAGTTGACATCCAGCTGGATTCACAGACTGTGCTGGTGGAGACAAGTCTTGGCACTGAGGAGGTCCAGAACCTTTTAGAAAGCACAGGGCGCAAGGCCGTGCTGAAAGGAATGGGAAGTAGCGTTCCAGGTAAATCCCAGCCCATCTTCCACTTCCTTTTCCTGCAATAAATCTCCAGCAAACTTTTAAACAGATCTAAGATACACGAGCTCTTCTCCCCCAAGGGACTGTGGTCTGCTGGGGGAAAGTTGGAATTTTCTGATGGATTTAAAGAATTGTCCCAACAAAAGGCAAGTGGTTGGAAAGATGATCATCCATCTGGAAGTTATGGGTTCTGTTCATAAAAACTTCAGAAGAGATCTGCTGTGTCATCCAAATGCAACCGGGAAGTTTACAAGGCTGGATAAGAAGGCGAATGCCATTATTGCTCCACTATAGCTAGTGTTTAAGGCACCCGGTCTTGGATTCCAGTCATGTACACAGCCTTCAAAGATAGCTCACATCAGTCCGTGCGCTGTCTTCCGTGCCTGTGTCTTTCAAAAGAATCTAAACTCTGCTGTAACTATTCCTGTATCCTCATAAATGGTGATAATTATTTTCTACTAGAAAAGTCTCTCTTCCCCATTCTGTGACCTCCCTTTTCTTCAAAGGATTGCTTGGCAGTGCGGCCGTGGCCATGGTGACAGGCCGTGGATTGATCCAAGGCGTGGTGAGGTTCCTGCAAGTCTCCCCAGAAAAATGCCTTGTGGATGGCACTGTTGATGGCCTTCAGCCAGGACTGCACGGGATACATGTTCATGAATTTGGAGACATCTCAAGGTCTTTTGACAGGTGAGAGGCTCCAGAAGATGTATTTTTTTCAGGTAGAGGGGCTTGAAAAGTTGGAGAGGTCTTTGTTTTCTTGACTACCAAAACTTCCACTTTGATTTCATTCCAAACAGTTGTGGGGACCATTTCAATCCCAATGGGGAATGCCATGGAGGTCCCCAGGATCAGCATAGGGTGAGTTGTGGCCTCTCCACCTTTGCTTCTCTCAGAGCAACAGCTTGCACCTTGATTACGTGTCAGTAGATTACATGGATTTCCAAAATGGTGGGATGCAACAGTATGTTGGTTCGCGTGGTTTGCAGATTAGAGATTCCAGATTGCATAGAATGGCATGAGCATGCCTGGGATAAAGCTTGTGGCATCCTGGCCAAAATGGGCCCGGGGTGCTTCACAGGTAATGCTGCATGTGACATGGCTGTGACTGAAGCTGGTATCTTGGTCAGCACCTTCTCTGCCTTACTGAAAAGCATTATGTGAAAGCCTCAGTTGACCATCATAGTAATGGGTAATGGAGGTCAATATCTATGCGCCTTTTTGACGAGGAGCGAGTTATAAGGAAAATTGTGACTTTAATGTAAGAGGAGTAAATGGTAAAGAGGATGAATTAATGCATGGAATGAATGAAGGAAAAATACGTTGGATGTCTGTGAAAATAAGAGAAAAGGAAAGGATGTAGGAGGCTTTCAGCAAGATGCCCTGATCCAGTGGAGGGATAAATACCTTCAAGGAAGTGAAGATGTAACTTTAATTATGAATGAAAGTGGCTAAAATGTGTGTTGAAAAGTATGCATGGCTATTATCTAGATAGCTGCTGTGTTTGAAAATAGGACATCACAGGTTGGAGATGGTTGTAGATGTTACACGTGAATGTATGGTAGGAATGGAGGTTTTGGGATAAATTTGGGAAAAATTATGCATCGTTCTGAATGAACGTGATCTTGGAGTGGGGGGAAATCTGTTATATGAAGTGAATGGATGGGTGGGAATGTGAAAGCAAACACAAAAGTGATTGGACCACTCAGAGACCCAAGAATGAATGAGAATGGTTACTATTGGGTGAGTATCTCTTGGAAAAATGATTGGTTTCTTTTGAACGTGTGGTTTAAGCCTGCGCATCCATAATCCTAACAAGGCAAAGTAAGATGTAAATTGAAGAGCAAGATCTGTTTTATTGTTGGCAATGAAAGATTGAGAGAATCTTAAGGTTGATGAGAGGTTCTGAATGTAGGTCAGATTATTGTTTGGTATGGATAGCGTAGATGTTGGGAGGAAAATTGGACGTGGAAGAAAGGAAAGAAGTGAAAGAAATGAGAATGAACGTAGAATGATAACAGGAAGAGAACATATGAGTCTTATATGGAAAAAGATTCTTCTCCCAGAAAAACTAAAAGGCAAGAAGGCCACCAGTGGGGAAATGGGGCCATCATTACCCAAAGACTCCAATGAAACTTGAAAGGCTTGACGGGAGGTGGAGCCTGGGGGAGTATCATAATTAAAATTGATTGTTATAATTAACAATCAGTTTCCACTAGCTAATCCTATAACATTTTAGCTTGAGCTGTTAAAGCAGTGTTTCTCAACCTTGGCAACTTTAAGATGTGTGGACTTCAACTCCCAGGATT